ACGAGAGAGGGAATAGGCCAAGGAAATTCAGCCTCTCCTGATAAGACAAATGCTTTAGACCGTCGGCCATCTTTGTCGCTCTGCGTTGCACTTGTTCGAGTTATTTGGTATCTTTCCTCATCCATGGTGAAGCTGCTGGCATTCCATACTCCAGATGAAGTCTTACAAAGACACCAAAGAGTATTTCAAAGAGTTCGGGAGGAAATATTTTAAATGCACGTCTGATCCAATGTAGAGTACTAGTTGCCTTCTGGACCATCTTTCTGCAGTGTTCTGATGGCCATAGATTTGTGGTCGTCCATACATCTAGATCTCTGTGTCTTTCCAAAGTTTATAACCTCGTCGCGTCAATATAGTACCGGTGTTTGGGAGAGGCATTGCGGCCGGTGTTCAGGTCCAAGCCAGCCCGTTTGTGCACAACCGTTCAAAATCCCTAGACTCGAGATAAGTTGAAATTCATTTATAACTGAAATATTTGACATATTTCTGCGTCGATTTTGCGTCGATTTTTATTAGCTGTCGAAAATAACACATAAATCCATTGCACTCTCTCCATTTAACCATGACCGATGTAACGTTTGCTGTCGACAAAGTAGATCTTTCGGCCATCGTCCGTTTACCGAAGTTCATCGAGAAACATGAACATATTTTTACGATTCTCGATTCACTAACAGACTAAAATAGATTCACGAACAGCCTAACGAGCCTACCACAAATTGAATCGATTATACATTAAGTTTCGTCAGAAGTCGCGGATAGATCGAAACGCAGGATCAATTTAATTATCCGTAATATACCCCACGCCGTTAATCCGACACCATCAATTCAAAATTTTATACATTCGTGTGGCTTAAACATCAGAGTAGCTAACACTAAAAGACTTCACTCCAGAAGCAAAAATAAACCCGTCTTAGTAACCTTCTACTTACAGACCGAAGCTGAGATTGTCCTACAAAATCCCGAGTTAAACAGAAATCTGCGGAACCTTAACTCATTTATAGGTCCAGATTTACACCTGTGCAAAGACGTAAACTCCGGGAAAAGACACCAGCCACAAATACGATAATCAGCACTCCGGTCCCTCAACTGAACCTTCAGCCACTACTTCTACTTCTAGCACTAATAAAAATAAATACACAGGCCAGCGTAAACCAAATGATAAATCCACAGCCCCCGCAGAAGGACCTTCAGCAAGTACTTATGACTCTAGTTCTCATGATAAAAAAACGCGCAACTGAAAAAGTATTTAGGACTGCTGGTCAGAAACAAACGAGGGAGGCACAACAAAATAACAACGTTCAACCAGAACAGAACGATGATGCAGATCCCGGACCGAGTCATGTGACACCCTGAGATAGATGTGACACCTTTAGATAGTTTTACTACATCCCCCAAGACCGATAAATCAGTAATAGAAAACGACTGCCAAACAAGACACATAAACCAAAAGGCCTTACTAAGCACACCAACACAACCAAAACGCCCTAGGTTTGTTGACATAACAAATAGAAGCCCACCGAACTCTAACCAAAAACAAACAAGCTTCTATAACGGCATCTCGACTCCCCAAAATCCACCTGCATAGCATAAGAATAAGCTAAACCTTTCTAGCATTCCAAACTGCTTACCACCTAATTACAACCCTTCAAATTACTTTGGCTTTTACACCTCCCCAACTGAAACTCCATTTAGGTACAATTACCACCTAGTTAACGCACATCCCCATATGTACCCTCAGTCCATACACACTAGCCCATGCACTCACACTACGTCATACATCACCATATCCTCCAAGAACCACACACCTACCTCCATTTAGCCCATCACTCACTCAAAGTACCCCCAGAAATCCTTTTTTTCACCACAGCCCACCTCTTCCATATCCGACATCCTAAAGATAGCTCTTATAAATTCGAGATCGATTGTCAACAAAATATCCCAACTTAGAACTTTTGTTGAAATATATAACCCCGATGTAATTTGCACTACAGAAACATGGACAAATGAACTTATATCGAATGCTTCGCTATATGTCCCAAACTATAATTTCTATCGACAGGATCTTGTTAATAAACGAGGCGGAGGTTGTATTATCTACATCAAAACTAGCATTGAGCAAATTGGTACTGATGTCCCAACCGAAACCTTTGCTGGAGAAGCGTGTTTTGCCACAATAAAATCTCATGCCCAGGAAAACATACTAATCGGATGCCTCTACTCCCCTCCAGAATGTAGTAGTGATGACACAAGCCTCAACCTTTTAATAAGCAATGTAGCTAACATAAAAACTGAATATAAGCTAATTGCAGGCGACCTAAACCGCCCAGAAATAGACTGGGTCGAATTATCAGCACCTACCAGGCACGAAGAATTCTTGTCTTCAATCATTTTTAATAACTGGACGCAAATAGTTGACGAACCCACCCGAGGAATCAATATACTAGACGTTATTTTCACCAACGATAGCTGGCCCCTCTATATGCACTACGACTGCGCAACCTTTGAAAGTGACCACAAAGCAATAATATCAACACTCCCTTTAAACGCAAAACTAGCACCCTATCTTAGTAACACCCGCCTAAACCCAAAAAATCGTGACGAGGACTCCATGAACAATGTTTGTAATTCGAGATACCTTGATAGACGAAAAACTCCCGTATAAGAAATCACCAATCCCGAACTTCCTTTCAACTAAACTAAAAAAGCTACAAAAACAGCTACGCGACCCCTCTGAGAGTTATTTTTCCACACTTCGACGAACTAGGGAAATTCACGACCTAGTCACGAAAATAGAAACACAAATGACCATAGCAGCAGAACATCGGGCATTAGAATCCCACGAACGAACAGCTCAGATGTTTCAGAAACTAATGAGTAATCATCGACAGTCAGGACCACGAACTATTTTTAATGAATTTGGGCAAGTTATAATCAATAATAAACAAATAGTAAACTTATTCAACAGATACTTCTCAGCTAACTACACAGTCGAAGTGGAAACCATCCCCCAACCGACCGAGATGACTGAACGCATCCTTAGTGAGATCCGTTTTAGCGAAGAAACTGTTAAAGTAGCCATCAAACAACTATCAAACACCAACTCCTATGGGACAGATAAAGTCCCACCATGTATTCTGAAGCATATGACATATGCTCCACTATTCATATCTAAGTTATTCGCCCTATCCCAGTCAAATGCAATTTTTCCGGACATGTGGAAATACTCGACCATTGCGCCCATATTTAAAAGCGGCAACCGATCTCATACCAAAAACTATCGTGGTGTTCACCGAACACCGACTATAGCTAAAATCCTCGAGAAAATAGTATACAACCAATTTCTAGACCATCTCATGAACGCCAACTTCATTCCCTCCTCTCAACATGCATTTTTACCCAAAAAGTCATGTCAGTCCTGCCACCTTACTTCTTTGGAATTCGTTTCCAGCAGCAGAGATGATGGAAACGCAGTAGCTTCAATATACTTCGATCTAAGAAAGGCCTTTGACAAAGTCCCCCATAAAAGACAACTAATAAAGCTAAAAAGTCGTGGAATTAGGCCACCCCTTCTCGATTTTCTTAAATCTTATCTTCAAAACCGTTACCAGGTGGTGCAAATTCGAAACGTCGTCTCAGAACCATCCACTATTACCAGTGGAGTACTTCAAGGCACTATCCTTGGCCCCCTTCTATTTCTTATATATATTCACGACTTATCGGCCATATCTGTCGCAGCTAAGACGTTTTTATATGCGGACGACCTTAAAATTGCATATGCATATAACGGGAATACAGTAGCCAATATTCATAGAACAATTGAAAGTGATCTCAGAAAACTCAGCGAATGGAGTAGACAGTGGCAGATGCCCTTTTCACCCGAAAAATGCCATCTCTTGATATTTGGCCCACAAAAACTTCCTTCCATAATATTCGACGATAATGAAATAACAGAGGCCCAATCCGCAAAAGATTTAGGTCTCAGCTATACAAATACCCTTGATTTATCTCCCCACGTCCAACAAATATCACCGAAAGCCACTTGCCTGTGTGGATTCATATGTAAAAAATTCACCTTAAATGAACCAAGAATACAACTGTTCAAAATGTATGTTTTACCTCTCCTAGATTACTGTTCAATTTTCTTCGGCATAATGCCCTCAGACGGCCGAAAGAAACTAGAAGGCATTCAGAGACGTTTTACTAGATCTTTGTCTGGAAGTGATGGCATCCAGGGTTCATACTTAGAACTATATCATAAATACGGTCTCCGACCCCTCTGGATCAGAAGACTTCAAAATGGTCTAAACTTCCTATTCAAGGTCACCCACGACCAAGATATTCTCAAAATGAATTTACTTACCAACCAAAACGCCCCTAGAAACACCAGAAATAGCGAGGATATTATAAGGATTCCCAAATTCACAAAGTCCCAACGGTCAAATTTCAACTCCAGAAGATATGCGACTATCTGGAATTCTCTTCCAGGTTATATCCGGAAAAGTCTAACCCTAATCGAGTTTAAAATAAAAACCAAGAAATTCCTTTCAAATAACAATACACATTTATTTATGAATAAGATAGGACATTTTTCAAGTCAATTCTTTGATATAGAATTTGGTCGAAAAGGGCTCTGATGATGTTAGCCGATTGAAAAATACCGGAACATAGCACTAAAAATAATCAAATTTATAAAAGATAGCATCATTGATAAACATAGAACAGATAATGATATTCTTCTATTTTCCTCCCTTTCTCGTTTTCATCAGCTATGTCACCTGACACTAAATATCCCTTACGAAGCTAATACACATATACATTTCGATAAAACCCTGCATATTAGTCGTGCGCATGTCTATATTAAGGCCATATTAAACCTATATAGAACTATATTAGGTCATAGTAAGCAGTCGACCACTACTCCTATAATTTCACATTAGCAAGAACAATATGATACATGATTCAATAGTATTTTGACAGTTTTGATTGTGACTTACCATTGAATGCTTCTTACTCCTGAAATATATTCATCTTTTCCAGCCCTTAGTCCTGACAACGATGGTAAGCCTCCTGAAAAACACGTAGGAACTGTGCGACCGTCCCCTTACAGCTGGCCAGATAGACTGACAACCAGCTGTAACGCCCCTGGACTTGGACAGAGTTGTTTGAACGTGTGAACACTTTTGGCGCGAGGACCTAGGGTGGAGATGGCGTAGTCGCGTGTCGGTGAAGATAACCGGTGTCCCTCCCTCTCTCTTCTGCCGATTCATTTCCGCCTCGTCGTACCGTAACGTAACGTATCGTCCGAACCGCTCGCATCCTTGCTACATCGGCACTCCCTCGGCCCTTCCCTGCAGTTGCCCCCAGCGCTGCGCTCCCCACCGGGTTACTAGTTGGCATGTTGGCATCGTCTCTCCACCCAGACAGGTCATTCTACAGATGTAACCGTCCTACCTGTACTATTAACGATTATTGTACGTTTCCCCGTGCAACCTCGTATTATTACACTTTATCTCTTATTCGACATGTCTTCTTCATCTGTGTATGGATGTGTATCAAGGAATGCTAACAGCTCCGTTCAGGTCTACCCCGGCCAAGAGCCCTTCTCGGCGTTCCCTTACTCCGGTGTGTGCTACCCTTGACGTCCTCGGCCGCTACACAGCAACCAGAGCGCACCGAAATTTAGCCAACAGGAAAATCATTTCAAGGTCAGGCCGATATCAAAGTTCTTCAATTGTCATGAAGGACATATTATTCATGCCCCGAAAACTACCAAACTGCAAACTTCAATTTTTATATTGTACATATCGTTATTTTTTGAAAATTTTGTTACCATTTTCCCTTAGAACTGAGGTTTTTTAATTTAAAACAAACTCTCAATTCGCGTTCTTTAGGCTAACCAGACACCCGAAACTAATGAAGTCAAAGTGCAGTTGAAATTGACGAGTTTGTTTTACGTTTTTTTCCTGAGTTCCATGGGGGCTGACAGTGCCCAAGGGGCGCTACAATAAACCTATTCTATTCTATTCTAAGACCACGCATTCGGACACGTTAAACTCCAAAAGCCATCTATGCGACCAGGCACACAGTTTGTCGATGTTCGACTGCAACTTCTTTGCGTCATCACCGCGCTTAACTTCACTCTATATTTTTATGTCATCCGTGAACATGAGAGCCTCGCAGTTCACTTTGCTGATGCAGTCATTAACATTAATCAAATATACGATGCGTGTAACTTAACAGTGAATAATCTACTGAATGCAGTTTTATTCTCTCCTTATTGAAATGAAGCCATTTCACGGACTGCATTTTGTTTTCTCCTGAACCATCCAATATATGAAAACATCATCACCTACATTTACTTCCTCAGCAGTTTTTTTCACTGCTAGCCCGATGCCTGCCTAGATTCTCGTTGACAGGGCCTGTAAACCGGCGTTCACTTCAGTTCAGTTTATTGAGGGAAATAAGCGCAAGTCCTTGAGTACTCTATTGGAAACGTACGAATGGGTGCGATGTGCAGAGAAATTATCTGGAATCAAGTAATTCAAACGAACCAATTATGGTATAAAAAGGGAGCGCTTCTCAGGGGACCATATCGATCACTCATCCCTGTTTGTCATTTCTAAACATAAATATGTCAAGATTTTAAGTATGTTTTTCACTCAATGAGTTTTTAATACTCACTTTTATTCGTCATATACAATCTCACATACTCATTCTCAACTCAAAAGCGAAAGTATACCTATTCAGTTTTCAGTTTCAGTTTATTTCAGTTTATTTGATAAGGATGATAGGCAAAGCCTTCGAAAACCCTATTGATAACATGTCAACTCGTTAGAAATAACTGTACAGTAACAATGAAAATGTTCTCTATATACATAGTACTTGATTCATTTGAGTAGCATTGTCACAGAGAAAAAATATGTGGGGAACCGGGGTGTTTAGCTCAGATTCAGACTGTCAAGAAAAAACAGGGGACACAAATACTCATCCAAGCGTTTCTTGAAGAGTGGCAGGGATGTCGCCTCCACGACTGACTGAGGGAGATCGTTCCATTTCTCCACTACCCTTTGCGTGAAAAATTCAGAACGAAGGTTCAGCCTGGACATTGTTGTCCGTAGCTTCATCGAGTGGCCACGAAGATTGGGTGAGAGGTGCCACTGAAACATGTCCTCAAAGTTAAGTCCATGCTCAAGGCCATTTATTATCTTGTAAACCAGGATTAGATCACCTCTTTGCTGCCTGTAACACAGAGGGAATAGATTAAGGCAATTCAGTCTGTCCGTGTAGGATTGGTTTTTTAGACCGTTTACCATTTTTGTTGCCCTACGTTGCACCCGTTCGAGGCATGCTTTGTCCTTTACAAGCCATGGCCGCCATGCTTGTATGCCATATTCTAAGTGGGGCCGAACGAAGATGCCGTAAACTCTCCCAAAAAGGTCTTGGTCAAAGGTAACGAACGCCCTTTTGATTGCATGCAGCACTCCCATTGCGTTTTTTGCAGCCTTGTGGCACTGCAATGTTGGTTTCAGATTGTTCTGTATCCAAACCCCGAGATCCTTCTGTGACGATTCTGCGGGGAGTCTTATATCTTTCAGATGATATGTCCTCAGGCTCTGATTTGAATGAGAGTTAGTTGGACGCAGATGGAGGACGGCACACTTCTGCACATTGAAGTCTAGAAGCCATTTCTCCGACCACGCTTGCAGTCGATGAAGATTTTTTTGGAGGGATCTCTGGTCGTTAGGACTCTTAATGACTTGCCAGAGCTTAACGTCGTCAGCAAACATTATTTTGCCACAATCGAGTTCCTGAAGGCTGTCATTAACATAAAGGAGGAATAGCAATGGTCCCAGAACTGAGCCTTGAGGCACACCACTGGTCACGCTCACCCATTCTGACATATCATCACCGATGCAAACACGTTGTTTCCGACCAACCAGGAACGCCCCTATCCAGTTCAGAAGATCTCCCCGGATGCCGATGGCGCTCAATTTGTGAAGAAGGCGTTGGTGCGGGACAGTATCGAAGGCTTTGCGAAAATCGATGTACACGACATCAACTTCAAAACCCTCTTCTAGGGCCCTGGTCCAGATCTCCAGACAAGCTAGCAGATTTGAGAGGCAAGAACGTCCTCTACTACTACTACTACTACTACTACTACTACTATTACTACTACTACTATTACTACCACTACTACTACTACTATTACTACTACTACTACTACTACTACTACTACTTCTACTACTACTACTACTACTACTACTACTACTGCTACTACTACTACTACTACCACCACCACCACCGCCGCCGCCGTTGACTTTTATTTGTTTCATGTCCTCACACGTCATCAAACAATCGGTACTGGCTAAATGATGATCCTGAAGAAGGAGGCATAATTGCTGGAACAAGAGTTTTATTCGCCTGAAATGTCTGATTCTTGTTCGGCCTCATCACCAGAGACAATAGCAGATACGGGAAGGTCCGTGCAGGAATTGATGAAGTCTCGCAACCTACTCAGCTGCCATTTGCCACTGAAGCAGATTCTCCACCGGGCGTCAACAAAATCTTTACTCTATCTGCAGCGGCCCCAGCTCCATCTGGCTCTTCAACTGAGCACATTATCTTTGAGTCACTCGAAACCAGCCACTCAACAAAGCCTCCGAGAAGCAAGGGTTGCACAAATGATGCTCTCAATTTCATCATGACGCTTGATCCTAACAGTAAAGATGGACCAGTCCTAGAAGTCCAATCTCCCTTCAGGATTCAGAGTAATGAATAAGTTAAGAAGCCTGGGTCGAATTCATCCTGTTTCCGTGTCAAACTATCCAAGTCTGACCTAGCGGCAAGACTAAATAAGCCTGATAATAGTGCCGGGAGATCGTTACCTGTTCCTGTCCCTTATTGTTAACTTACAGAAAACACCACAGTTGTGAAACCCACTAACATACCAGCCCGTGAAATGCTGATAATTTTTCCAATCTCAGTGCTAGCCCGGCGCCCCAAATAATAAAACCTTATTCTAGTGTTAACTGTTTCTCGAAACCATTTAGTCAGTTATCTAACCTAAATTACCAATCATATTATGCTCAAAATTATCAAAATCCTACTTGTATGCCTCCTATTTTTCCAACCCCACAAAATAACATTCCTCTTCCTGGGTCCAGCTCAACTGTTTTTTCATAGAATGCTACATCTTTAGTCAGTTGTAATATCCCCACAGATTTCGGACCACAACAACTTTGTTTTCCACCAATTGCTTCATCCCAACAGCTTAATTTTCCACCACCAGCCCATTTTTGTAAGTGATAATGAGCAAAACCTACATCTTGGAAATACGCTCAGTATTGTCTCCCTCAACGCAAGATTAGTCGTGTAAAAATGGCATAAGAAATATGATCGTTGAGTCCAGCGCAGACGTTTAATGCACTACAGAACCTCGGGATCACTCTCTAATTTCAGACTCGGCACGCAATATAGATAGCCTCAGTTTACGCCGCCAGAATCGTGTTGAAAGACGTGGCTGTGGTTGTCTTCATTACACCAGAGCCTCACTCGCACATTCGCCTTAAGGCTGGCCCCCTCATAGCCCCTTCTTGGCCCCCTTTCAAGAGGGGGCTAAGTGCTGGCAGGATTGTGATCTGAACATTTCTTCCTTCTCTATAAATCTCTGTTTCGCTTCGGTACTCCTGCAAAATAGAAAAATCTTAGTCGAATGCGTATATAATCGTCCACATTACTCCGGACATAAAGGCCAACTGCGTGAACTCTTTGAAAAAATCACAGAGACCTCATTCGATGTCAAGATAATCGTAGATTTTACTTTGTCAGAAATTGACTGGCACGCACATATTTCCTCTCCTAAACTACAGAAGCTTCTACACACCATTGGCTTTTCACACTTGTCTCAATTATTCCACTCTTCGACCAGAAACTGCTGTGTATTAGATTTAATTTTTACAAGTGGTGTCCTCCCTTTATCTGTGGATTGCGAAAGTAACCTTTTTGCAAGCGATTTCGCATTAATTCGTTGTTGTCTTCCATTCAATTCAATTCAATTATTTTTATTAAAGACCCGTCGGGGTCCCATCAAAGCAAGTAAAAATAAATTTACATGCGAATTTTAGACGAGGTAGGCAAAATCTGTACAAAGTGCAATACATAGTCTTTTGGGATTAGAAGTCCGTTCAGCAAAATGAAAATGAAAAAACGAGGGGTGAAAAAAAACTCCAAAGCAAAATTTAAAACTGATTGTAGTAATTTAACAGGAGAAAAAAAAACCCTCAGAAAAATAGCATCAGAAAAATACAGGGAGGACTGGCCTGCATGTGGCGGTACAGAATGGAATATAGTCCGACATCAACATGGCCGAAATAAATGTCAGCTGTATATGGCATTGTGTAACGGATTTCATAAAATGGTACGTAGGCGGGTCGGTCAGGACTGGCCTGTATGTGGCCTTGAAAAAGATAAATAAATGGCGAAATTGAAGACCAGTCTCGAGCTGATAGGAACCCAGATGCGGTCGGTTTTATTCAACCGAGTCCATCCGAGCATGGGGGAAGGCAGATGCGACCAGACTACTAGTATATGGCAAGTATAGAAGGCTTTGTCAAAATCGCCGATGGAACGCATTCTGTAAGGGCACGATGACAACCAGTCTCGAGGCGACAAGAACCCAGATGCGGTCTGTTACATTCATCAGAGTCCATCCGAGGATAGGGCAAAGGAGATGCGACCAGATTAGTAGTATATGACGAATACAGAAGGTTTCGCCAAGAGCATCGATGGTGCGCATTCTGTGAGGGCACGATGCATGAACTGAAAAATTGGAATAATTAACATTTCTGGTGAGGGATCTTAGGTAGCGAGAATACTCATAAAGGAAGGAAACGTGAACATTTCTGCAAAGCCAACAGCACAACGTAACATTTTTGAATTTCCTAATATTAAAAAAATGGTAAATAATTTTACAAGCAATCTTGATTGGCAAAATATTTTTTAAAATAATGATTTAAATGCTATCAACACATAATAACAGTACGTAACAGCAGGTCTTCTTGACCTTGTATCATGGAAGACATCTAAGCCGAGTGCCCCTGCCAGCACATTGCCCCTTCATAGGCGGGGCTGGAAGGGACTGGGTGGGGCCAGAGCCCCCTCTGGATTGAAGCCTTTTGAAGCGTATTAATACGCTTCAAAAGGCTTCAATCCAGAGGGAACATATCTTTCGATGCAAATTTGCATCGAAAGATATGTTCCAAAAGCACCACTTATTGTACCTTCTTTGGAATTTAAAGGAGCTAATTTATCAAAATTGGCTTATAAACCATGGAGAAAGCATCCGTTTACGTCCACTGAATGTAGCTGCGGATGAGCACAATTGTGCTATATATTAATATATTGAGGTTTTGTTTAAGTCCCTCATTGCTTAAACTCTTATTTGTCCACCGGTTTACAATCTGTGTGTGTTATTAATTCGTATATTTGACAATGGGGACGATATTTTGAAGTGGTGCCAAAAGTGGGCTGGGATGTGGCGTCCCCTGCGCATTTTTTTTCGCTGGCGGGGCTAGGCGGGGCTATCGCGTTGCATGCCCCGCCACAGCCCCCTCCACAGCCCCGCCTAGTCCCCTCATAGCCCCCTCTAGCCCCGCCATTATTGAGGGGGCCAGGCGGGGCTAGGCGGGGCTGGTGCTGGCAGGGGCCACTTCCACCGCTGTCCCACACTTTCTTAATAATAGACCTAAAAAGCTACGGGAGCAGCTTAAAGATCCTTCCGTGAGCTTATTATCAGTTCATCTAGGAATCGTTGAAATATTTGAATAAGCTTCGAAAATGATGATCGCGCGAGATAGGCGTTGAGAGCCTTTAGCTGTTAATGGCTTGAATGCCTCTAAATCAGTTCTCAGATCTTCCGTCAAAGATCATCTGCTAAATCCCACCAAGTCATTCCGCCCTTGCTTAGTACCAACGATATGTACTTTCATTACAGAGAAGTCAGACAAAGCACAACATTTTTTTCAAATAACGATCCATATTTTTTGCACGATTTATTACAGTCCCTAACAAAAGGTCTTCCTTGACATTGCTAATGTTAGCAAGGAATTAGAAAATAACTTTATATGCACTCTCGACTGGCCCAGTATATATTCAAATAATGATCCGAACTTTTCCACGATTTACTGCAATGCCTAGCTGGAGGTTTTCTCGATATTATTTCGCTGAAGATGTTAAAAGCAAGTGTCCCCTCTTCTATTGCCCTGAAGTTTCTAAAATGAGACTTGAAAAGCTACTAAAGCAGCCTAAAGATCCTTCCATAAGCTCCATATCGTTGCCCATGAGAATCGTAACAATACCTGAGTTAGCTCCAAAAATTTGGCTTGCGCGAGATAGCCGTAGTCTTTATCTACTAGCACTGCGAATCCCTCTAGATCTGTTGCTCTGATCTTTCGCCTGATATTGTCAGCTAAGTCCAACCAAACAATTCTGCATTTGTTAAGTTGCAACAATACCTATATTACGGAGTCGGTAATAGCAGGACGGGTAACTTTATCCTTTGCCAATCAATTTACTATTGAAAATGATCCCATCTCACATCCGCGCTCCAAAAGGGATAACTTTGAAGTATATACCACTTCACAGTTATTATCTCTGAGGTTGCCGCTGGAACTGTACGTCGCAAATTACTTTCTGCGGCTCTGGAAATTTTTTTCTCGCGTGGAAATTTATTAGAAGTCTGTCTCTTAGCCCGAATCTGTTTTTCATCAAAATCTAACGGAATACGGAGTCGATTCGCGCGCAGATATCGGCCTAGGAAAACAAACCGTTGACACCCAGGAAGATCAGGAGTTATTAAGGGCCTTCGATATTTTCAAAACGGTTGAGTCGCTCCTACATATATTTCATACCGTTCATATTTTTTCGTTACAGCAACTTTTTAAAAATAGGCCTATTTTGACCATTTAGTTTTGAAAATTTGCCATACTTTAGCGTATGCAGTCGTAATTACCTGTTAGAATCTCGAAGTTCATGGGTACGGCAACTTTTTGATAGTTCCACGACCAGGACCGGCACTATGTATGAAGATAAGTCTATCGATATGGTCTTGCCACCCAGGATTAACGCTCGCTCTCTTTATATTTGCAACAAGAGGTCCGCAAAGCGCGCTAGAAGCGTACTCACAGCAAAATCTGTGGGTTACGAGGACGAGTCGTGCATTGGCTGCTCCTATATTCTTCTGAAAGTCCAAAAACTCGAAAAACAGTTGGCTGCTTTAAGGGAACTCGTGCAAGCGAACGATGGTGGGCAAAACGCGGTTAACAGCGCTAGAGTTAGCAAGACAAAGGGAAAGAGCAAAACTCCGAAACAGCAAAAGAACAAGGTTTGTGGAAAACCTCAGTACAAGGACGCCGATACCCAGGACGATAGGAAAATAACAACGGAGTCTCTTGTTTCTATGAAGGACAACCGAAGCGAACCATCAACTTCTTACAGCCATTCCGCGTGTTCGGTAGAACCATCGATTGGCAGTGTGGAATCAAGCTCATGGCAAGTTGGAATGGGTAAGCACAAATACAGGAGTATAAAACCCCAGACGACTCCGGTGAGACCTTCGACTGACAAGGCCGCTGAAAACAGAGCAAATGAACCTCTTGACCGTGAGCACTGCGTAGTCGTCCACGGTCTATCGGAGTCGAGCGCTCCTACCCCGAAGGAGAAGATTCCCGCTGGCCTTGATATGCTTCAAGACGTACTGAACAAGATGCTTAATTTGAATGAAAATGTAATCATTCGCGCTGACTTCAGAATCGGAAAGAAGATGAATGAACAATCGAAAACTGTGCAGCCACGACCTCTGAATATTATTTTGGGGAGTAACGAGGAGACTAGCTTACCTCTGTCCAGGAAAAGCAGCCTCGGAAACTCTCACAAGGAAGTTTTTTAGCCGGACTATTCTCCAGCGGAACGTCTGAAACACTGCGAATTAGTGATGGGGATAAAGAGGAGACTTGCAGCGGGAGAGAGCAACTTAGTTATTTTCGGGGGAAGAGTGATACAGGGAGTGCGATGTTGCCTTGGAGCCAGTCATAATGATGGCGGCAGCGGCATAATATTTAAAAAATCCGAGACAAACCAAACGAAGCACTGTCGAATGTTGCAAACTTAAATTCTTCTACCCCAGTGCTCAGAGTCTGTCTTCCAAGGTTGACGAACTGAAAAAACGAGAAGCACATACTCCTTTCGATGGCATAGGAATAACAGAAACGTGTCTGTCAGAGAACGTAGGTGACTGCTAGGTAGCATTAACAGGATACAAATTGTTTAGGAGAGATAGGAGAGGCTGCCGGGGTGGAGGAGTTGCCATGTATGTCAACAGAAACTTAACAGTGTGTGAGAGGACCGACAAGATTTCTGACGACACAGAGGCAATTTGGCTGCATAATTTTGTACTGCGAAACATTCCGAGCCACTTATCTGCCATGGAGGCAGCGCATTTGTTCCTACAAAGTTGTGGTTTGAGTTTCACTTTCGCACAAGCTAAACGACCGCGCTCGATAGCCGTAATGCGCCGATCCTAGTTACCCTTTTCTCCATAATAGAAGTCGATTTTATCTTGTCGAGGAGGGAGGTAACTAGAGAATTCTGCCGTAATTGGCGCTGCTCCGTTTCGCCAGACCTCACACCGCTGCAGTAATGACTGAATAAATTAAAATAGGCAAAACCCAACACCAGGATAATGACACCTACTGTCAGTTTGAATAAGTCCTTTACAACACTATCTGCGGCCTCTGCACGTCACGACATAGTCAATACCGTAGGGAATTCGACTATTATTGATGCTGAGATTTTCAGAAGCAACAACACGCCTGGTATTCAAACGTCCTAACGACTCCCATAGCAACCCCTAGTAGGCTTAACCATGTGCCTAAGTCAAAGGCAAATCCAATTGTTGTCTCAGCCACTCGGACACCCGATTAATCCAGCACCATTATAAAATCTTTTCCTCCACAATCAGCTAACAGTTTTTTCAGTTTATTTGGTAAGGATAATAGGCAAAGCCTTTCAAACCCCTATTGATTACATGTCAGCTCGTTAAAAATAACTGTACAAGAACAAAAGATATTCGCTATTAAAGCAGTACTTGATTCATTTGAGTACCATTGTCTCAGACAAAATATTTGTGGGGACGTGGGGTCTTAGTTCAGATTCACACTGTCGAGGGAAAACAGGGGATACAAATAATCATCCAAGCGTTTCTTGAAGAGTTGCAGAGACGTAGCCTCCACGACTGACTGAGGGAGATCGTTCCATTTCTCCCCTACCCTCTGCGTGAAAAATTCGGAACGAAAATTCAGCCTGGACATTGTTGTCCGTATCTTCATCGAGTGACCACGAAAACTGGCTGAATGGTGCCACTGAAACATGTCCTCAAATTTAAGTCCATACTCAAGGCCATGTATTATCTTGTAGACGAGGATAAGATCACCTCTTTGCTCCCTGTAACACAGAGGGAATAAATTAGGCAATTCAGTCTTTCTGGGTAGGATTGGCTTTTTAGACCGTTTACCAGTTTTGTTGCACGCCGTTGTACTCGTTCGAGGCATGCTTGGTCCTTTACTAGCCACGGCTGCCATGCTTGTATGCCATATTCTAAGTGGGGCCGAACAAAATTGCAGTAAACTATCCCAAAAAGGTCTTGGTCAAAGTTTACGAAAGCCCTTTTGATTGCATGCAACACCCCCATGACGTTTTTTGCAGCCTTGCGGCACTGCAGTGTTGGTTTCAGATTGTTCTGTATCCAAATCCCGAGATCGTTCTGTCAAGATTAGGCAAGGAGCCTTATATCTTTCAGGTGATATGTCCTCAGGCTCTCATTTGAATGAGCGTTGGTTGGACGCAGATGATGGACGGCATGCTTCTCCACATTGAAATCAAGAAGCCATTTCTTCGACCACGCTTGCAGTCGGTGCAGATTATCTTGAAGGGATCTCGGATTATTCGGTCCCTTAATGACTTGCCAGAGCTTAACGTCGTCTGCAAACATTATTTTGCCGCAGTCGAGTTCCTGAAGGCTGTCGTTAACATAAAGGATGAAGAGCATTGGTCCCAGAACTGAACCAGAACAGTGCCTCAAATACCCCAACTCAAAACGTAGCGTGTTCCCAACTGCCTCAGCCCTCATATCGAGGCAGTTAGGCCGAACATGCCGATTTTCCCACCGTTTAATAGAACTCTTGCTCCAATAGAAGCAATGCGTCCCCCCACCCCCTAACTTGTTTCCACCACGGCCGTTTTATCAATTTATTCCTCATGCTAATGTCCATACTGGATCAGTTAACTTATCCGATCCTCAGTTTCGTTCCGGCGGGAATACGCTACAGTATCCGGCCCGTGGATTACCAGCTGAAAATAAGTTAGCTAACAATGGTTACCAGTTTACCTGCCCGTCATTCCCTCCCCCAAATCCTACCCCTTTTTATCCATGTCAGAATTTTTCGATGCCAGAAAATTTTTTGCAGAACCGGATGGTTACAGCCGGACCGTTTCCTCCGCGGGCAGCCCAGCACTGGACGATGTAGCCCACCTCCCTCACAAGTAAACAGCCTTTCCATTCGAACTTTTTGTTTTAAATGCCAGATCCTTGCTTAATAAGATGCCTTCGCTTCAGACTCTTGTGTTCGTCCATTGTTCAGGTATTGTTTTAGTAACTGAGACATGGACATCAGCCTCCGTAGCTGACTCCGAACCCTCGCTTCTAGGCTATAATTGCATTCGAAATGATCGCCAAGATAGTCGTGGTGGGGGCAGTTGCGTCTACGTTAAGCAAACACTTAAATTTTTGCCTTTGGACCTCCCGCACTTTTCGGCAGTAGAAGGCAGCTGCTGGCTCCAGGTTGCTCTAAAAAAATAAGTGCTCCTTACTCGTTGGCTGTGTTTATCGCCCTCCCAACGCCAACGAATATTTTGATCGTTTACTCTCACAGGCATTTCATGTTGCGACCGAATTAAGCTTTAAGTACCAATTGGTTGCGGGCGACTTTAATCTCACCGAACTCCGCTGGTCTCCGCCTTCAGGCCCCAGAAAGTTCGAAGACTTACTTGAGGCTGTGGATGTTGGGATGTGGACTCAGGTTGTCGATTTTCCCACCCGAAGATCAAGCATACTTGACCTAATTTTTTGTAGAGGCTGCATGCCATCGTCATATACTAGTAGTCTGGTCGCATCTCCTTTGCCCTATCCTCGGATGGACTCTGATGAATGTAACAGACCGCATCTGGGTTCTTGTCGCCTCGAGACTGGTTGTCATCGTGCCCTTACAGAATGTGTTCCATCGGCGATTTTGACAAAGCCTTCTATACTTGCCATATATTAGTAGTCTGGTCGCATCTGCCTTCCCCCATGCTCGGATGGACTCGGTTGAATAAAACCGACCGCATCTGGGTTCCTATCAGCTCGAGACTGGTCTTCAATTTCGCCATTTATTTATCTTTTTCAAGGCCACATACAGGCCAGTCCTGACCGACCCGCCTACGTACCATTTTATGAAATCCGTTACACAATGCCATATACAGCTGACATTTATTTCGGCCATGTTGATGTCGGACTATATTCCATTCTGTACCGCCACATGCAGGCCAGTCCTCCCTGTATTTTTCTGATGCTATTTTTCTGAGGGTTTTTTTTTCTCCTGTTAAATTACTACAATCATTTTTAAATTTTGCTTTGGAGTTTTTTTTCACCCCTCGTTTTTTCATTTTCATTTTGCTGAACGGACTTCTAATCCCAAAAGACTATGTATTGCACTTTGTACAGATTTTGCCTACCTCGTCTAAAATTCGCATGTAAATTTATTTTTACTTGCTTTGATGGGACCCCGACGGGTCTTTAATAAAAATAATTGAATTGAATTGAGTCAGTGTCATCCCTAGGCCCACTCGTGGGCTCAACGTTGGAATTCGAGGCTGACAAAACGTTGTCCCCAAAGCATAACTTTTTCCGCCATTTCCGATCAACTCGCTCAACCGAATTATTAACACACCTTAATTCCTACGACTGGACTGATTTCTTCCTTACTTCGGATGTAAATGCTTGCACTGCAGAACTGCGTGTATCCGCGTGAAGGGGGTAGCGGACCAACTAAATCCAAGTGGACGTGGTGGAATCGAACATATGGAACGGCAAATGTACTTGGTGGAGAAAATGTGTGACGGTGTACTTTATTCTTCTGGCAGGCTAAGCACTGCTTAGTCCAAAGAGCGATGTCAGAGTTCATCTTCGGCCAGATAAAACGAGAAGCGATTAGTTTACGCGAAGCGCGGATGCCAGGATGTGACAGGGAATGGAAATGCTCAAACACTGTCTTGCGGTAGGATAGTGGAACAACAGGCCGAGGAGTGCCTGTGGACCAGTCGCATAAAATCGTGCCTGGTGATGCGGGAAGTGGTGCTTCTCGAAGTTGCAGAGTAGTAGTAGAACGCAGGTCGTCAATGGACTTGTCGCCTGATTGGAGGTCTGCAAGCTTCGCCAGGTCGAAATCGGATGTAAATGTGTTGATGTCCGGACGGGATAATGCATCAGCAACGACATTGTCGCTGCCTCGGACGTATCGCTTATCTGCAGTAAACTGCGATCTATAGTCCAGATGACGAACTTCCCTGGGCGAGTACCCATCTGGCTTGGCCTTGAGGGCGTAAGTGAGAGGTTTGTGGTCGCTGTGAACCGAAATATCTCTGCCCTCTAAGAGGTGCCGAAAATGACGAATGGCCAGGTAGATGGCAAGGAGTTCGCGAGAGAAAGTACTGTAGGGAGTCTGCGCCGGTTGTAGCTTCTGTGAAAAGAAAGCCAACGGCTGCGACTGGTTATTCACCTGTTGACGTAGGACTGCGCCGACAGCATTATTGGAAGCGTCAGTGGTCAAGATCAGCGTGGGGATCGGAGCTGAGATGGTGAAGCAAAGTGACATCAGCAAGAGCTTTCTTAACTGCCTCAAAGGCTGAGTGAGCTGCTGGAGGATGTTCGATGGGTTTTGCTAGGGTCGCCGCACAGTGAGGTATAAAACGTCTGTAATAGTTTAGAAGACCTATAAAACGCCGCAGCTGAGTTAGGGTCTTGGGGACATGGAATGACAGGATGCTCTGCACCTTCTCTAGCAGCGGTGTGATTCTGTGCTGGTCGACGTGGTGACCAAGGAAGTCTAGAGAAGAGAGGTCAAAGATACATTTGTCGACGTTTAATTGCAGACCTTGTTGCTGGAAACGGTCGAATGTCTGGCGCAAGTGCGAGGCATGTTCCTCTGTCGAAGAACTTGCGACGAGTATGTCGTCAATGTAGACATAAGTGAATGAGAGACCCCGCAAGATGTCATCGATGAAGCGTTGGAAGGATTGGGCCGCGTTACGCAAACCAAACGGCATGCAAAGGAATTCGAACAAACCAAAAGGCGTTGTGACGGTGGTCTTGGGAATGTCCTCTTCCTCGACCGGAATTTGGTGATATGCCGTCACGAGGTCTATTTTGGCAAAAATATTTTTTCCGGCTGGCGTGTGAGAAAAATCGTGCATATGGGGAATAGGGTATTGGTCGGGAACAGTGGCTCTGTTGAGAGCGCGACAGTCGCCGCATGGTCTCCAATCATCAGTGGATTTCTTGGGTACCGTGTAGAGGGGAGGATCCCATGGGCTGGAGGAAGGACGAATAATTCCTAGATTCATCATATGCTCAAATTCGTTTCTTGCTATCCGAAGTTTTTCGGGGTGAAGACGGAGATGATGAGCGTAAGCAGGTTGCCCCGTGGTGATATAAGTCAAATTAAGTCAGTTTATTAAGGGAATGAGGCTTTCGCCCTTGAGCTCCCTATTTATATTGATAAACAGAAATAAAGTCATCAATTACATCAGTAAATGCGAAAAGTTAAAAAGTTAGCGGTAAGCGTGAGCTAGGCGTAAACTGCCGCCGCTAAAGCAATCATTATTACATGTAAAGTGGGTTCTCAAAAAATGAGCATCTTGTCTGCACTTAAAGGATTTGACATTTTCGGAGAGAAAGACAACATCAAGGAGTCCATTCCACGCCGCGATGACCCTATGCGAGAAGGCGTTCCGTCGGACGTCCGAATGAGCCCGCTTCCTTTTCAATTTGAAGGGATGACCACGCAGACGGTCAGTCCCGGCAAATTCGAAGAATTCATCAAAGTCTAGGGCACACTCACGGCTTCTGACAATCCTGTAGGTTTGAATGAGATCGCCGCGCAGTTGCCTGTAATTTAGAGGAAATAGATTAAGTTCGGTCAGCATGGTTTCGTAAGGCAGATGATGAAGATTCTTGACCATCTTCGTAGCCATCGCCTGTACACTTTCCAGTCTTTGATAATCTTTCTTAAACCACGGTCACCAGGCCTGGACTGCATACTCTAAGTGAGACCGGACGAATGCTCCATAGGTTTTTCCGAACAGCTGTTTATCGATCTGCACAAATCCTCGCCTCAGCGCAACCAGCACCCTTATCACAATTTTGGCCGCCCTCTGACACTGTGATGATGGTTTCAGCGAGGAGGTCATTAGGACGCCCAGGTCTTTCTGTTCCACAACATTTGAAAGGGGCTGACCACCAAGGACGTATTGAAAGGAATCGTCCTCCTTACTGGTCTTTTTGGTGCGGAGTCTCAGGACCAGACATTTGTCCACATTAAAATTAAGGAGCCAACGAGCTGGCCAACTGTTCGGGCGGTTGAGACTGTCTTGAAGCGCGTACCTGTCTGCGTCAGATCTGATGGGTCTCCACAGCTTAACATCGTCAGCAAACATGATGGCGCTGCATCCCAGGTCGTCGCCGCAGTCGTTAATGTAAATCAGGAATAGCAACGGCCCTAAGACGGAGCCCTGGGGTACACAACTTAGAACGGGGATAGCAGTTGACCTTGAGGCCTCAATGCACACGGTTTGAGATCTCCCGGTAAGAAAATCTGTTATCCATGTCAGCAGCCTTCCTCTTATCCCAATTTCAGAAAGTTTGTAGATTAGGCGTTTGTGTGGGACGCTGTCGAACGCCTTCTTAAAGTCTGTGTAGATGACATCGACCCTACCATCCTCGTCCAGTGCGCGAGTTCATTGCTCCGTCGAGAGCAATAAACTGGAAAGGCACGAGCGGTTCTGTCTGCAGCCGTGCAGCAGGTCTGAGAGTAAATGACCCTGCTCCAGGAACTTCATTGTTGCTTTCTTAACTATGGCCTCCATTATTTGACAGCAGATACAGGTTAGACTAACAGGCCGGTAACTGTTAGCATTAGTGCGAGCCCCGCCCTTGTATATCGGAAAGATATTTGCTGTCTTCCATTCCGATGGCAGGCTCCCTAATTCGAATGACGAGCGGAAGATGTGCGCCAGTGGTTTGGAGAGTTCATTCGCCAGTTCTTTCAAGAATTTGGCCGGTATATTGTCCGGACCCGAGGACTTTGCTTCTTCGAGATTTTTCAGCTCCCTTTCCACGACAGCTGTCGGGAAGAGTATGGAGTGAAGCACGGGACCAGCAGTCTCACCCGCATTTCTGGCACTGCGACTGCGAAATTCTGTTTCTCTAGTAAAAACTGAGGCAAAATACTGTCCTCAGGGTTCGGATTTCTCGCTGTTCTCAGTGATCTCTACATCATTATCATCCTTCGGCACCGTGAACGGGTCCTTATTTTTCAGTCTACTGTTAAGATAGTGAAATAAAATCTTGGGCTTCTGTTCAGTCTGTCGGATAATTTTGGATTCATACTCCATCCGTGCTTGACGGATACAATTTTTGACGGCATTTCGTTGACGACGAAATGCTTCGAAATGCGCTGGTGACGCAGTTTCCCTGAATATTTTCCATCTTTTGCTTTTCTTCCGTAGCAACCTCTTTTGGTCCCTAGTTAACCAAGCAGGTCGACTAGTTGTTTTTTGTACTTTAGGTGGACAACAGCGCCTAATCAGATCGAGTGAAATCGCCTTAAAAGGTCTCCACTCGTCCTCCGGATCACCTCTGAGTAATTGGTCCCAATTCACGGACAGCATTTCGTTCTTCGTCGTATTAAAATCTGCCTTCCATATATTAGGTTGGCCCTCTGTTCTCTTCTGACGTTGAGAGGAGAGCGAGTAGTCCCATAGTAGCGTAGTATGGTCACTTTTCCCGAGAGGTGCATTGGAATACACTTCGTCGATATTAGAGAAGTCTTTAGTGAAAACTAGGTCTAGACAATTCCCTCTCTGGTTCTCTCGAAATCTTGTTGGTACCTTTACATGTTAAGCCACTACTAATACGACTTCTACTACTACTATTACTACTATTTCTACTACTACTACTACTACTACTACTACTACTACTACTACTACTACTACTACTACTACTACTACTACTACTACTACTACTACTACTACCAATAATAATAATAATTTTTATTCAGGACCCGTGGGGGTCCTATCATAGCAAGTAAGAATAACTTTTACATAAGTTTTATAATTTTAGGCGAGGTATACAGAATTATCACAATACTATATTCGTAGTTATTGAGTAAGTGGCATGTTAAGAAGAATGTTGATCAAGTAGTGGAAAAAACTCATAGCATAAGCAAAATGAGTATACTTGGATTATAACTATAAGAGTAAAAATCTCTCACTCCTTAATTTATGAAAGGTAGGTAGGACCGGTCTGTATATGTCATTGTACGGCACATCTAATGGAGGGGTAAGTAGGCGGGTCAGGCAGGACTGGCCTGTATGGAGTCTTAAGTAAACAGTTGGAATAGGGCGTCATCAAGGGAGACTTCATAGGCCGGATGGGGCCATTCATGTCATGGTGACGAATATAAAACCAGCCTCTAGGCGATAGGAACCCAAATGTGATCAGTTACCTTCAGCCGATTCCAGCCGAGGAGGGGGCAAAGGAGATGCGACCAGACTACTAGTGTATGGCAAATCCAGAAGGCTCCGCCAAGAGCGTCGATAGAGCGCATTCTGTGAGGGCACGATGCATGGACTAAAAAATCGAAAAAATAACACTTTTGATGGGGGATCCTAGAAAACGATACGACTCACGAAAGAAGGGAATGTGAGCAGATACGGAAATTTAAGGGCGGCATACTATATTCCCAGTGGCCCTTTCTCAGTGTCATGGAAAAAGTTGTCCGGGAAGGATGAGGAAAATAAAAGTCTAATCGAGTCAGTATTCAGAGACTGAGAAGTCCTGCACACAGCTTTCCTTTTATGGCACACTTCGTTTGATGCGTGGCCCGCCAACACCGCCTGTGTGGCTGCATCCGACCCGCATGTCACTGTGACCTGAATCCCGACCATCTTCCTCGGCCGCGGCGATAATTGACGGCCCTGATTGTCACGCGCCGTGACTGGCCACCGTCAAGAATGTCCGTAGAACCAGATAAGGGGAGGTAAATTGATGTGGCGGTTGACAGAACGGTCAGTCGACATCCAGGCTTCTTGTATCTGCCTTGCCGTATGATCATCATCTCGGCCCACAATTTCAACGGCGTCAAAGTTGAAGGCGTGCCTCATTTGGGCAGCATGGGTTGCTACCTCCGACTTTTGGTCCAACCTTCGCAAGGCCAACTTATGCTCGTGCATGCGCGTTTGCAGCCGTCGGCCGGTTTCCCCAACGTAGTTGCATATTCCGAGGCTGCACTGAGGTCGGTAGACAACAGCCGACATCTTCTGCCTAGGGATGGGGTTTTTCGCCGCATCGATTGCCGGCGGATTGTTGAGTCAGGCCTGTGGGCAACGCTTATTCCGAGCGACACGAGGGATCTGGCTACGGCTTCGGAGACCCCTTTCATGTATGGAATGCTCCGCCATGATTGTGGTTCACTAGGTACTTCATTCCGCCTCCTTGGTTGCTTTCGGCTCCGTTCAACGAATGTTCGCTAATAGCTGTTGGCTCTGAAGAGTTCTCTGAGGAGATTCATCTCGTCCAAATTGGTGACTGGAGTGCTGTCATAAGTTTCCACCCCTCGGTATAGCATGCGTACACAGCTTTGTTTGTGTTGCAGTGGGGGGCTGCTGTTGTAACTGAGAATTTTCAGCGTGTTCGTCGGCTTTTTGTAGACTGACGTCGCCAGTTTGCCGTCTGGTTGGCGGCAGACGAAAACATCCAAATATGAAAGTTTGCTCTCCACTTCTTCTTCCATCGTGAAATGTAGGTCGGGAAAGTTTGAGTTCAGCAGTTCTTTATAATAGTTAATTTTATCCTGATCGATGCTAACAAAGGTATCATCAACGTAGCGTGCCCAAAACTTGGGTTTGTATTCCTCGAACAGTCGTTTCCCGAGTTTTTGCAGAACGGCCTCGGCAATGAGTCCGGAAATTGGGGAACCCATCGGAGTGCCCTTACTTTTCCCATATGTGGTCCCCTCGAAGGTGAAATATGTCTTGAGGCAGTGCCCCATGAATCCAATGAGAACCTGAGATGTGGGCTGGCCATCGCCCTCGTCGTAATTCTGACGAAGCAGGTCACTGAGCGTCTCGACCGAAACGTTAGACCTCAAATACACCCCTCCGCCGATCGCCTCCTTTTCTTTTGGTGTTAAACATTAAAAGTCACTCGTTTTACCAAGAGCTGTGTTTGTCGATGTTCGATTGCAAATGTCGACTATAATCGAGAAAACTCGAAGAGCTGGAGATTCGAAATTATATCCTGAGACTATTCTACCCTACGTACTTTTCCTGCACAATGCACCCAATTTCAAGTTTTAAGTAGAGTAATTAGGGGCCCAAATCCTATTTCGCTCGATAAAACAAGCATTTTCTAGAAGGCCATGCGGCAGGAAACGCAGGAGTTTTGTTAACTAAGGAGAATACACCATGTACTTCGGCTCGGAGCTGACGGCTATAAAAGTGGGTTGGGAAATCTTTGTCGGGTACAAGTGAAGGAACCGAGTATCGGTCGTCTAAAATGGTTCAGGGCCGCCTGAACTCGACTCTGGATAAGGTTGGAAGTAAATAATTCTTTTCGACCCCAAAACACCCTAGCAACCTGATCCGCAGTTTAGGTTTCAGCACTACTCTGGTTTCATATTCATACAAAAGTTCTTGAGCCTCAAAAACAATCCTGAGCTTCTACTTCCAGTTGGTAACTTGAAAAAGTCTAACTTCACTAGCCACACTTAGAGTACCTGCGATCCAAACCCTTTCAAAATAGAGATTCGTCTTGCTGTGTTTTAACTTACCCGCTAGTTAGCGCCGTCATCTGGTGTTCCCGAGGCTTTTGCCGCTGATTGTGTTCGCCACTACT